CAGGGCAAGGATCTGTCCAGACATGCCGAGTGGCAAGGGGCCCAAAGGCCAGAGCAGGATGACCAATGACCTATGAAACCTAAGACAGCACTGTGTTGTAGTCCAGAAGCAAGTGGCACAGGAAACAGCGCAGACAACCCCTCCACTTCATACAGTCCCTGACAGAGGCCACCCACAGGTCCCAAACTGCAAAGAATCTACAGATGACAATCATTAGGGAGGGGTAGGAAAAGCATGATCTGAACAGTAGAGACAGGAAGTCAGGAAAGGGCAGTAGCAAGAGCTAGGTTTATAGCAGACCATCTGGGCCCAGATCTGGCTCTGCCACTTTGCAGTTACATGATCCTGGGGGACCTCAGTGCCTGGCTAATGAGAGCCTGCAATGACAATGCATCACATGCCTAGCAAAGGGCTAGGTGGGAGGGCAGGTGACATAGAGCAGCTCCCATGATTATTTCTATTAGAGAAAATAGGCTCTTGGGAAGTGGAGGTAGGAGGATCAGGAGTTCAAGGCCATCACTGGCTATATAGTGAGTTCAAGGCCAGTCTGGAATACATGAAACCCTGTCTCAAGAAAGTGAGGGGGAGGGAGAGAAAAAATGACATTCTTGACTACAATGATACACTTCCATTAGCTGAATCAAAGGACAGCACTGGGCTGTCCGTGCACCCTTGCTTCCCACATGATGGCCTCATGCAAGGTGAGAATGGCCTTGGGAGCCGTGCCTATCAGCATGCCCTCCCTCTCTGGGCTCAGAGAGGCATCTGCCAGCCACCAGTACAGAGACACTACGGTTCATAGCAAGCCAGAAGAAATGAGGAGGGAAAGGACAAGAAAGCACAGAATGAAAGTTAAGCCAGCGGTGCGGAGTGAGACTGAACACAGAGTTAAGCCAGCGGTGCGGAGTGAGACTGAACACAGAGTTAAGCCAGCGGTGCGGAGTGAGACTGAACAGAGTTAAGCCAGCGGTGCGGAGTGAGACTGAACACAGAGTAAAGCCAGCGGTGCGGAGTGAGACTGAACACAGAGTAAAGCCAGCGGTGCGGAGTGAGACTGAACACAATCGAAGGCCGTGTCTCCTGCTAGCCAGAGGCTCTTACAAGGCAACTTAAAATCTTAACCCTAAAACAGTCAGCAATTTATAGAATAAAAGTCACACCATTTAAAGAAGGGGGCAAAAACAGGTGAAAGCAAGACCACCTGTAAGAGACATTTCCTGATGAATCTACAACTTAAGCGTAGACATGCCAAATGCCTAGGGCAGAAGCAGTGAGAAATCTGGGGGGGTGGAGGAGCTAACATCTATTTCTGCTCTTGTCAAAAATTAACAGCTTCAATACCAAAATACAATTTTAAGAGTAATTTGAAAGCTAGGCGTGATGGCACACGCCTTTAATCCCAGCACTTGGGAGGCAGAGGCAGGTGATCTCTGTGAGTTCAAGGCCAGCCTGGTCTACATAGTTAGTTCCAGGTCAGTTGGGGCTACAGGGAGACTGTCTCAAAAAGACAAAAGAGAGAGAGAGAGAGAGAGAGAGAGAGACAGAGAGACAGATATCTAAATATTTCTCAAAAATCCAGAAAGCATAGATGTCACATATTCTAAAACAATGTAAAAAAACTAATGAAATCTACTTTTCAAAATCATAGCCATGTGCTGGAGAAATGGCTCAGTTAGACAGAGCAATTGCCATGCAAGTCTTACGACCCAATTTGGTCCTTGGACCCACAGTGGAAGACGAAACCCAGCTCCCAAAAGTAGTCCTCTGACCTCCACATGTGTATCATAGCACACATACTAGCAACACACACATACACACTAACATTTAAAATTTAAAAACTAATCATTTTCATCAAATGTATTCATAATAACCAAAACATGAAAACAACTCCATGTCCATCAATGAATGAACGAGTAAATGTAGTCTTCTCTACGCATGGACAACCACCTGGCAATAGGAAGGGGCAGGTGCTGATCACACGCCATTGTGGATGCATTATGAAAACACAGTGCCAGGAAAAGGAAGCCAGTCATAAGAAATCACATGTCATATGATTCAATTTATAGGAAATTTTGAGAGGAGACAAATTGATGAAGACAGCAAATTAGTGGCTACTTAGGGTTCAGGGTTGTAAAGTGGATGGCTAGAGGGAAACAGGTGGCTGCTAGTGGGGAAGGGGTTCACTGGGGACAATTTTTTAAATCATGGGGATGGTTGCACAACCTTGTCACTATGCTAGAAATACACTAATTGTACTCTATAAGTCAATTACATATTAAATATTACAATAAAGCCATTGGGGGGGAAAAAAAAGTCCAAGCCCTTGAAACTTTTTGAAAAATCACTGGTGTCTGAATAAAAATAAAAATTAGAATTATAATTACAGAACATTTCAAGATTATCACTGAGAATATTATATGTCAAAATACGGGATACAGTGAAAGCACCAATTAGAGGAAAATGTGTAGCTTTGTTTCCCATAGTAATGTGAAAAGAGCTGAGTGTGTGTGTGTGTGTGTGTGCGCACAGCATGTATCTGTGTGTCTGGGGGGGCTGTCTGTGTATCTATGTCTGTGTATGGTTGTGTATTCTATATTTCATCAAAGTAAAATGTCATTTATTTCAAAATGTATCCCTTTTATACATCACTAAGAAAATTGCTACCAATTTAAAAAATGCTACAATATTTTATCATCAAGTGAAAAATGCATCCTAATTTGAGAGGAGTTAATGTGGGGAAAAAAAGCACATCTTTTGAGAAAAATGCAGTAAATTCAAAAGAAGAAAGACAGTGAGACTGATTTTTTGTTTTAAATCCAGAATCTAATTCTTTGGAAAGATCAACAGACAAACTCTTGGCAAAGCAAAGAGAGAAAAGAGAAAAGAGAAAGGAAGACGGGAGGGAGACAAACGTACTAAGTAATCAGGACCACGAAAGTCAACATGACCACATACATACAGACAGAGGCCTCCAAAGTGTAAGAGAAAGCTGTTTGCTACACTACAGCCAAAAACTAAATGAGAGAAAAACTCCATGCTAATAATTTTGAATCTGTCAAACAGACAGATTCCTACTAAAAAAACAAAACTTCCAAGCTGACTTCAAAAGAATCAGAAAATCAAAGAATGCTCATGGAAGAAAAATTTTAAGTCGCCAAAGGTAAATGTATACTAAATCCCCGCAAATATTGGGAGTCATTTCTAGAAAAACTTAAGCTTTCTTTGTTATTAAAACTGTTTTAGATCAAAACAAGATACACAGATTTTACCCTAAAATTAGCATAACCCTGAAGCCCAAATTACAAATGGCATTTGTCATATATCAAATTGACAAGAAGAAAGAAAAATACAGTTAAAAGGAAAATGTCCAGTATTCGTAAGTGTGGGGAAAGGAAACAGATCCTTCTAATAAATATGTAAGTTGACACAATCTTTCCGGAAAGCATTTTGAAAACATACATGAAAAGGCATATATTGAACTGGGCATGGTTAGTGCACACTTGCAATCACAGCCCTCGAGAAGCTGAGGCAGGAGGATCACAAAATTGAGAACAGCCTGGGCCACATAGTAAGACCTTGTCTCAACCTAAGAATCAGAACAATACTTTCTCCTTTTGGTCTTTTTTGAGACAGGGTCTCCCTAGCCCCAGCTGGCCTGGAGCTCACTATGTAGACCAGGCTGGCCTTGAACTCACAGAGATACACCTGCCTCTGCCTCCCGAGCGCAGGGATTAAAGCCGTGCGTCACTAAAAAATATTTCTTTTAAAAAAAGGCAGACTTTAGCCAAGCATGGTAGTATACACCTTTAATTCCAGCACTTGGGAGGCAGAGGCAGGTGGACCTCTGTGAGATGGAAGCCAGCCTGGTCTACAAAGTGAGTTCTAGGTCAGTTAGGGCTAAAGGGATACTCTGCACATATATATTGACCTAGTACCATACTTCTAGGAAATTTTCCCAAAGTAATTATAAACCCATGCAGTATAAGAATGTTCATTGCCAAAACACAGACACAACTTAAATGGTCAGTAGTAGCGGGTGGAACTGAGTTTGACAAATCCACCTAGTGAAACTGAGTCACAGGATAGAAAACTACATAACAACATTAAGTGATCAAGATAGAGTCAAACACATACATTTTTACATATGCCAAAATTGGAGCTGGAGAGATGGCCCAGGGGTTAAGAGCACTGACTGTTCTTGCAGCACCCACATGGTGGCTGTTCCAGGGGATCCGATGCCCTCTTCTGTCCTCCGAGGGTACTGCATGACATGGGTGCACTTACACACATGTAGGCATAACACTCAATACACATAAAATAAAAATAAATTTTAAAAAATTTACATATGCCAAAAAGAATTAAGATACTAGGCAAAATATAGTACATGGGATAGAACATGCAATATTTTCTAAGCAGGAAAATTAATAATTGTTACTAGAATTTTGTTTGCACAAATCTTACAAAATATACCAATAATGCCCAGGGACCTAGAACAGAAGGTTTGTGCCTGAGTCCCCTAGGGTGGCAGGATAAAGATGAACCAGTAAGAGCTTGCTGCTAACACTGTGACCCATCTGGGCTACAGTCTAGGAGCCTGGGGCTCCCAGACCCCAGGGGTAGGAGGCAGAGAATTGTTTCCCCCCTCACCAGTGTTCCCATCCCTGGGGAGTATCAGCAGCCTATTCAGACCCCAGGAGCCAACCAGTCACCTCTCTATCCATGCTCAGACCTGAGGAGCCAACCAATCCCCTCTCTACCCATGTTCAGACCCCAGGAGCCATTCAATCACTTCTCTATCCATGTTCAGACCTGAGGAACCAACAATCACCCCTCTATCCACGTTCAGACCCGAGGAGCCAACCAGTCACCTCTCTACCCATGGTCCCTTGCTGCTTTCTGGAAAGTACTCCACTAGAAACTGTGAAAACATCTTATTTGGCACTGAGCATGTTTCTTTTGGGCGGGGAGACAAAAAAACAAAAGCCGGTTCAGACTCATACCTAGATAGGGAATGCTGGGCACCATCTTCAGGCTTCGGATATAATCCCGAGTCCGCTTGTAATTGTCTTCTTTGGACATCAGATAATCCAATTTCTCAAAAGTGGTCTTGTCTTTGCGATTCAAAAGCTGGAATGAGAAAAATGATAGTGTTTGAATAAACCAGAAAAGCGAATAGAAGAAGAGAGCTGTGACAGAGCGAAAGGAAACCTCTGAAATGCTTGTGTCCACAGCATGCCAAATCTGAGCAGAAATAAAGATTTTAAAGGTCTGTGTCACATGGTGAGCAGGAGGGAGCTGCATAGGATTCATAGCATCTCCCATGGAAGACCACCCCAAGCCATTGTCCTCCATGATGCTAGCTGGCTCCCCCAACACATATAGGGCACTGATCTCTGTGGGGACAGGCACTCTACGACAGCACGTGGCTCACAAAGTGAGGCAGATTACTCACAGTCACTAGAAGAGTTATTCCATAGCTCATAGCTCTAGCTGGTCTCTTCCATGGTGGAAGACTCCAAAAGCTTTCACATGACAAAACAGACATGCTATGTAGACACGGCAGGGCTCCAACTTGGAGTTCCCCTCTGCTTCCCAGCATCTACTTGTGTCATATCAGTTAGATGTGGTGTTTCACTTAAAAAATAACCTTATTTCCCATCAGCATTCATCTACTAGATCATCTAGGTAAGCAACCTAGAGCAAGCAAGCACCATCAGCCAGAGATTAGAAGCAAGCTCACTGATGACCAAGCTCTCAGGATGTAAAGCTGGTGACCCAGAAGAGGGTGGCTCAGTATGCACACTGAACCTTCTAGGGAATGAGTGGAAACCTTAACTCCTGGTGCTCAAGACCTGACGCTGAGGACTAAGAGTGGAGTTCTTCATGTCCCAAGTCAAGGTCGAGTGCCAGGAAATGGAGGAAGCCTCCTCAAATGCAATAGCTTTGAGGAAAGGAGGCTAGGCTAGGAGGCCAGGCCTGAAGAGGGCTGTCATGGGGATGGGTGGCTTTGGCTCAGCATGTGGCTGAAGCTGAGATGCCCCCTGATTCTGGCTTCCAGGGCTCAGGACTTCTGAAACTGCGGTCAATGGCTAAATCCAAGAGTTACATGTAAAGGAAGAAAGACGGGAGTCCAGGCATCCTAGGCCAAGCTTGGTCTTGAGATCCTGATAGTCTGTGCAAGGATCTGGAAAAATGGACCTGCCATGTCCATCAGACTGGAGCGGGTCAGTGTCTAACAGCCCTCAGGCAGGGCAGCAGAGGTAAGGGGAGAACCACTGCCAGCACCAAGGCTATAAGGGAGGCAGTGCAGCTCCAAGGGTCTCGGCCGGAAAACCCACACTCAGGGAGGCCCAGGTTGCTTGGGCAGGCTCTGCCAGATCCCTCAGTCCTCAGTCTCTGGAGTCACAGAGGATGTAGTCATAAGAGAGCCCACTGGATATGGGCAGTGATGACAGCCTGCGGACTTCAGAGGGGAGGCTGAAGGCTATGGTGCAGGGAAGGAAGGCTCAGTGCTGAAGAAGCTAGAGAAGGAGACGCAAGCTTTTCTCTTCCCACTGAGTTCAGGACATATGAGGGCAGGGGCACTACATACATCCTAGGAAGACCACCACTTAACTGGCTTACTAAGTCCAGGCTTATTCATCATAATAGCAAATGGATAGGAATGAATACCCTCTTCTACTGGCTGTTTGTAAAGCACTGCTGCATGTAACTCATCTGATTTTTGTGAAGCCCAGAGGCAAAAAGGAGCCAGGACTGTGGCCTCTATTTCAGGTTCACAATCACCAGGAGTAGATGACCTGCCCAAATATCTATGGGACCTGTGAATCAATGGAGAGGCTAGTCATACATTATAGCAACACGGTGAGTGAACAGAAATCAAGGACCCAGGTGAATAAGTGAATTGTCAGTGAGTGAACATCTAAGGATGAGAAATTTGCCATATAAGCAATAGGTACCCAAAGCAGAACCGCGTTCCTTGTGTGAACAACTATAAAGTTGAGCAGTCTTCTTCCAAGTTCAGGAAGTCATTTTTTTTTTAACTGATGCAATCTAGAACCCCACTGACTTCTTCGTAATCATTCATATTTGGCCATCTGTCAAACAAATCCTGATGTTGTCCTCTCTCACCCTGAGGCTGAGCCACACTGGCTCCCACAGCCCACACCACTGGTTCTCTGGGCCCAGCTGGGTCACGGCCTGTGTCCCCTGCATGTTCAGCCTACCTACCATGTTCAGCCTACCTACCAGCCTGTCCAGTACCTGTATGGGAAGCACCTCAGATTGCTGGGTAGTCGGCCAGTGTGCCACCTGTGTTCCCCTATTCATGCACACAAGCATGCAAACGTACAAACACACACACAACAGAAAGGATGGGCTACTTAACCTCACTCACTGGCTCCATTCTGTGCCTATAAAGCAGATTCAAGACATAATCAGATTTGTCAAGAATAATTCATAGGCCAAGCATGGTGGCACACACCTTTAATCCCAGCACTTGGGAGGCAGAAGCAGGTGGATCTTTGTGACTTCAAGGCCAGCCAGGGCTACATAGTGAGACCCTATGAATAAAATAATAATAATAATAATAGTAGTAATAATGATTCATAGGCTGCTGTACAATGAAGAAACTCAGAGCAGATTTTGCCATGACAGATTTGAAAACGACCTGAGAATTTCCTCTACCAAATGAAGGAACAGACCAGATAAAAGAGGACATGGGACACTGGAGACACTGGGTCCAATCCATGAGTGCCCTGAGGGTTCGGGGATAGCCAATGAGCAGCAGGTCTTAAGAACAAACTGGTCCACGATGGACCAGAGCAAAAGAAAATCTATATGATAGCACATTTGTGGCATGGAGGATGGTATAGGTACTAAAAATAAAAATAAATATTTTAAGATTACATATGTGTATCTGGAAAATAGATACTTAAAAGGTAAGAGGAATTTTTTACATTTATTTTGTGTATGTGTGTATGTGTAGACATGTGTCTGTCACAGTATGGGACCATGTGGGTCCCAGGGATTGAATTCAGTTTGTCAGGCTAAGTAGCAAGTATCTACCTGCTGAACCATCTTACCAGCCTGGAATTTTTAAAAGGGAACTGAAATGATCAGGTAAAATATGTAAGAGAGCACCAGTAACTCATGGTTTATTACTTGACTTCACAATGGTGTATGCTTGCACACTGCTAATCATTAAGACACTGAATAGTCATTTAGCAAAAATGATTGAATTATAGTAATGGGGTTTTGAAGAAAGAAGGAAGACAGATCTAGAGAACTAAGCCAACATGTACTGCCTGAAGTGGATGGATTGAGACACTGCAGTAAAAGCACATGGGTGGGGGTGGGGGACTGTGGCGGAAACTCCAAGAAGAGACCACTGAGCGGGAGGGTTGTCTCTAGGGAGGCAAAGGAGCGGGGAGAACAGGGAAGAGTTAGGGCTTTCAATAAGCCTTTCAGTACTTTAGTGATTTCCAGAATTGATGTGCATGTATTATGCGGATAAAAATCCCTTTCAGATTTAAGTTTTTAAAAATAGGGCTTTGTTTATTCAGAAAATAACAGTACTTACTTACACGTTTTAAACTTTTATTACAAATAGAACCACCAACTGCAAACCTCCTATGAATTGAGGGTCCTTCAGATTTCAGTTTTATGAGAAGCCTCAGGAAAAGACCATCAGAACTACATATAAGAAAACTGGTAAGTCGCTTACCCAGAGTCAAACAGACCCTGAAACCATTCACATTTGGAAGGGAGGTAAGGAAATGAGACTGGGGAGCAGCTCACTACCTGTGGCAGGAGCGGATGCAGGAGCTAAGGATGGAGCTGGCAAGGAATGAAACCGGGGCGCTTTAGACCTAAACAAATACTGGGACCTTGAAATAGTGAAGTTCAGTAGAAGTCTTGGGGTGCTCTGCAATCTTCTTCCATGAGATGTTATTATTCCAACTGACCGTGAGGCTGCCTTTGTGTCTCACTCAACAAATGATGACTCCTGTGAGGACGGGGCGGTGCTGACTGTGCCTGCTGCTCACTCACCAGCACAGAAGAAACACTCTGAAATGCGTGTTACAGGAAAGAGTAAAGGGAGGCCAACAGTGAGGATGTGGAAACCTGGTCCATTAGAAACTTCTGAGTTATCAATGATCCTGGAAAGGGAATGAAAGCCAAGGTTATGGATTATCACCAAGTCGCACACAGGAGAACGCTGTAGGCTGAGCTATGTGCTAAGGTCAAAAATGGCAATGAAACCTCGTGCTTTTAAAATCCTTTATAGTCCCAGCACTTGGGAGGCAGAGGCAGGCAGATCTCTGTGAGATGGAGGCCAGCCTGGTCTACATAGTGAGTGCCAGGCTAGCTGCGGCTACAGGGAGACAGATCAGGAAAGTAGGAAAGGAAGAAAAATAGCTTAATTGGTAAAATTAGAAATTGATACATTAAAAATAAAGCTAACCATCAAATTTATGGCAGTGACTAGATTCAAGAGTTTATTTTATAAAGCATCAATAAAACAGGTAAAAGACAAAATAAAACCAAGAAAACACCTCTACTGAAAAAGGGAGTAAGCAGGAATATACGTATTAGGATTGAGAAAAGTGAGCTAAATACAAGGTAAAAATAAAGTCCTTCAAATTGATTTTAACTCATTTTCACGGTGCCCAGTGTTCACTCCGAGGGGTACATGAGACTTAGAAAGCACAGGTCAAAGCCAGGAGGATGGCAGACCTGGTGAACACCTACAGTGAACACATGCTGCAGTCACCATGCTGAGGGCGTGGCATGCGGCACTTTGCCATGTGACTATTCCTGAGCCCCTCTCCTTTCTGGGAAAGTAGCTCAAATCTGGCAAATCTGGAAAGGAAAAGCCCAAATATGATTTATAAGGACACTGGTATCTTGTTCCTTTGCCTCTAGGAAAAAAATAACATTTCCTCATACGTGGAAGTTTTTTCAACAAAGAGCCTGTTGCTCCAAATATATTAAGACTGACTCAGAATTCCACTTCAGTTCCAGGGTCTGCTGCTGGTATGGTTTGGAAAGAATGCTTAGTCCCATTGAATCTATGGGTCAGTGGGTGCCAGAGCCAGGTGTGGAATCAGCAAAGAATGAAATGG